ACAAACTAGGATAATGCAAAGAAGGTTTATTTACTAGGGAACGTTTTATAAAAGTATACTCAGGGTTTAATAAAACCACAGGGATTATGGGCAATAATCCAGGATTAGGAGCTGAAGCACTGCTACCACCTGGACATATCAGGACAGTCTCTAACCAACTACCTGGCCAGTGCTAAAAACATCAGTTTGTCAGTCCACTTATTTATTTATGTATTCATTGGTTGATTCTTGTACACACGCTGACCTGAGATCAAACCCGCAACCTTGTTACCACCCTTTGGCACAAGGAGGAAGAGTGTTGAGCAGAAAGGAAGGAGAAAGCCATGTAGAGAAGACTGCCTTGAAAGGCATAGTGATATTCCACCTAGAGACATTACCCAATGTTTTCCCACAAAGATGGAGTGAAAGGAATAAATACCCTGATCTTATTCACCTCCCTCCCTTCAGTTTCCTGCCAGAGCCCCCATTGGTCAGATCCAACCAGAGAAAGAGAACAATGTGCCCATGGATGTGGTCCATCAGGGCCAGCCTCTAGAACCAAAGTGGGTAGCTCTAGAGGGACAATTGGATGACATACAGCACAGTGCCAAATAACCCAACAACTCACTGAGATATTTATAAACATTATAAGAGCAGAAACATTCCTGCTATTATACACCATTTTATGCCCAGACACATCATTCCAACATCAAGCAACTTTTCAACTCTCTGACACCAAATTGGATGTCCAATGATTCAGTTGAATGTCACATTAACTACCCAGAGTTAGCACAGACCCCACACGTTAAGGGCTTGGTCTCACTTTAGACACCGACCACAAATGGGGTCTCCAGGGGACTCGCTCTTCTGCCAAGCTGACTGCAAATCTGGAGATTCCTGTAACTCCCACTCAGGTTCAATTATTTGCTACAGTGACTGGAACTCAGAAAGCTCTCTACTTTCTATTAGTTTTATTACAAAGGATACAACTCAAAGAGCCAAATGAAGGAGATGCCTAGAGCAAGGCATGGGGGCAGGGAGGACACAGGACTCCCAGCACGTCAGCGTGTGCACCAACCTGGACTCTCCCTCCACCTCACTGTGTCAGAGTCTTTATGAAAACCCCATCATGTAGTATGACTCACTCTTTGTGTCCTAGGCCCTTGCTTCTCCCCAGAAGTTGGAAGTGGGGCTAGTAGTTCTAATTCTCTAATCACTTGGTTGGTTCCTCTGGTGACCAGCCCCACATCCTGCAGCTGTCCAAGCACCCCATCTATAATATAGTAACCTCATTAGAATACCAGGGACATTCCTATGACTCTGGAAGTTCCAAGGATTTTAGGAGCTCTGTGCCAGGGACTGGGACAAAAACTATACATGCATATGCTTCAAGCATCCCTACATAATTTTTTTATCATGCCACACCAGCACACTGTGCCACAGTTTCTGGCACATAACGGGCACTTAGTATTTGCTAATGAATGATGCACAGTATTTGCTAATGAATGATGCAGGCTCCAGTGAGCCACTCCAGAGTTCTTTCTCCTTCTTTCCATCTTCCTTTGGAAAGACTGATGGACTTTTTTTAAAAAAAAAGATTTTATTTATTTATTTTTAGAAAGGGAAGGCGGGGAGAAAGAGAGAGAAAGACATCAATGTGCAGTTGCTGGGGGCTGTGGCCTGCAACCCAGGCATGTACCCTGACTGGGAATCGAACCTGAGACACTTTGGTTCACAGCCCATGCTCAATCCACTGAGCTACACCAGCCAGGGCTAGATTGATGGACTTTTTAAGCCAAAACTATTCATGGCTTTAAGATTCTCCTTCCCCTCTAGCTAGATAATCTAGAGAAGACAAACTCTAACTGCCTTTTGTAATCACAGGGCGCTTCACAACTCTGCCATCCCAAGCCCAGGGAGACTCACAGGAGAGACATTCACAAAGACTTTTTAAAGATGGAATTTAGACTACTAATTTAGAATCTGCTTTAGTCTCCTCATAGTTTCATCCTTTTTTGTCACCTTCACAACCAACCGATTATGCAGCTCTAGAGAGCGGTAGGAAGCTAGAGCTGGGCATTTGCTGGGGGTGGTAGGCTACTTTTGCTTACCTAATACCTTGTACAGTGTATCCTGAAAAGGACTTTATGTTCTGGGTAGTTCCCCAATGATATGAGTCCTACCTTAGGCTTTTAAAGTCCCAAGTGACTAGCACTTTACACAGCATAAAGAAAACTAAATTTCTAAGGAGAAAATTTGAAGCCAAGAATGAAGAAGTTGTAGAATATAGTAAGGTTGTTCTAAATCCATTAACAGAAAAAACAAATGTGAAAAACAAGCAGGTCCATTCAGGGCTAGAGTGCCTTGAAAATATGATGTAAAGTTACAGTTTAAAGGAGGGTTGGGGCAGGGGGAACAGTGTTGAAGTTTTCTGTCCTTTGGCAGAGCTAGCTGTCAATCTGATGGACTCAGGCTTCTCTACAGTAATGGCTTTCTAAAATTAAAAAAAAAAAATGAGCCACACCCTGTGGCCAAACTCTGAACTCTCTACTGAAACAGTTATCCAAGGGCTTCTTAAGGTCCTTTTGGGAGACTATTTTCAGCCCTGCTCACACACCATTGGTGCACCATTCCGGAGAAGTGGAGTACCCTTCAACCTGAGCAAAAAATATACGGGGGGCTCCTGCATTTCCTCAGTTGATGGGCTGTTTGGCCAGCGCATCCCCTTGCATGTGACACATCCTTTGATCAGAGCACATAGCGTCATCGTTGCAGGCACTGATCAGAAACTGCACCCAAGAACAGGCTGTGATCCCTTGGGAATGTTTGCTAGAGACACCTGATATTGGGGGGAAATGCTTGAAGCAGTTGTTCTAAACCCAGTGGATCATTCTCAATGACCTAAGAGGAAAAGTAGCTGGGACCAACCAGTGGGTCATTTGCAAGAGATAGTGAGAGAGAACTGAGCTAGTGTCTGGGCCTGCGGGAGGTGGGGGAATCATAGCTGGAGGTGGGGCTCGGGTGTCTTTTCTAAGCCTCACTCCCTCTCCCATCAAACAAAGGGAAAGAGGCATGTTAATTTTCCTTTTCATATCTCTAAACAATAGTCACCTGGATTGGCTATGATGGAATTACATGGAAACGTTTTTCAAAATATACATGTGCAAGACCTTCCCCACTCATCCCTCAATTCTGAGAAACATTATGTGGGGTAACCTACGCATTTTGCAGGAGCCCCCCAGGCCATTCTGGTACTCCCGCCTCCTTCCATCCCACCCCTTCCTCAGCTGAGATACTCCTAACGCTACTTATCTCTTACAGTCAATCACTAGAAAGAAATGTATTTAGGTCACATATCTTAATTCCCTGCTGACAAACCTTAATGGAATTAATATTTAACAATACACATTTGACTTAGATCAGAAATGCCTTATAGGGGTTATCTACTTGAATTTTACATTGTTACACCTTCTGGAAAATCAATTTCAATCATCTGATACATTACCCAACATCCACTACCCTCCCAAAATTCCATGTCTGACAAAAGATGGTTCCCCCCACCAGCAGAACATGCCTGTGTCTTTTTAACAGATAATGATAGTGAGATAATGGGAAGCATTTGCCCTGGTGTCTCAGCTGCTAGGAAACAGGTTTGTTTGTTTGTTTTTGTTTGTTTGTTTGTTTTTAACAGCAATAACAGCATACTGGTGAGACTCTTTAGAAGGGCTTGTAAGAGACAGTACTATCCACTGGAACTGTGAGAATAGAAATGTTCTAATTCTACACTATCCAATTTGGTAGCGAGTTGGCAATGTGGCTAGTGAGCCCTTTAAATGTGAAGGTGTGACTAAGGATCACACCATCTAATTTAAAGAGCCACGAGTGGCTAGTGGCCACCTTGCACAGCATGGAGGTAAGGCATCTTTTTACACTTAAACTTACAGTTAATAGATAAATATAAGTAACATGATACAAGATGCTTATAGTAAGTTCAACTTCAGTGCAAATGCCATGTTTATATTGTAAGAGTGTCACTGGCTTTTAGTAACATTATTCGAAGGACTGTGGGTTTGGGGGTTGGCTGCAGACGCTTGGCTGCTCTCAGGAAATGGGGGACTCAGGTGATCTCTCTGGAGCAGCCTGATTTAATAGGCCCTCTGGCCTCGGATGTTACGGTTAGAAGTGCTGACCTTCCTCTGACAGTGCCACCACACCCCATCTCAGTAGGACCATCAGCTAGAGACCCTCCCTATTCAACCCCACCAGGTACAGGGAGAGTAGGAGGTGGTTTTAACGCTTGCCTCATTAAGTCACACCTGAAGAGTGTGCTCTCTTTCTACTGAAGGGCCCAGTGGGTCTGCAGGTGTCTCACCCTCAGCATTCTGACACTTTGGGCCCTGTGATTCTGCACTGTGGAGGACTGTCCTGTGCACCGGAGAAGGTTTAGTAGCATCCGTGCCCTCTACTCATCAACAATACACACTTGGCTTAGCACAGATGCTAGCAGCATCCCCCAGAACTCCCCCACCACCATGGTGCCAACCAAATATTTCTCCAGACATTGTGAAGTATCTTGTGTGGGGAGAAATCACCCCTGGTTGAAAACCACTGATCTAGACAATAAGTTCTTGGACTATGGGGTACTTAAGAGACTATCTTAGTGTTGTTGCTATTGTTTTTAAATATCTAGTACCTAGCAGATCCCTGGTATGCGGTATATACTCAAGCATTGCTTGGGTGAATAAATAAAAGGTAACTATTATATTTTAACTTTTAAAATATCCCCCTCAGTGTCTGGCAAAGTGTACGACTCAATCAACAAATTTTCTGGTTGATTAACGTTCTTATAGGTTTTCAAAAGTAGAAATTCCTGCTAATAACTACTTCTGAGGAAGCAAATTCATAGAGAAATAAATCTTTTTTATACCTTAATGTGCATGAAACAATTTCCTGCCCTGTTAGGGTTTTTAGCAAACAGTGTAAGTCTGAAAATATAGGCTCATCATTTCCAAATTACGTACCACAGCCGTCCACACATGAAGAAGCACAGCTCCATGGCCTCTCGGCCTCAGCCTCGGCCTCTTCACCCTCCAGGTACTGGGGTCAGAAGGAGCCAGTCACCTCCAGCAGCAGGTACGAAGCCCAGGAACTACTGCTGCCAGCTTTGCTGCAGGAGAAAAATAGATGGCTCGGTTCAGTTCGCAGTTACTGAACCTTTAAGCTACATTTGCCAGCAGGTGATGCTTTTATCTCATTTGTCACAATCAAAGCCTGCAGAACAAGCCTACTAATTACAGCCAAACCATTGCACCTGAAAGTTTGGGGATGATTTACACCGTGTCCACAAGGCCTAGCACCGCACACAGAACTTAAAGGCATTCCCACTGCATGCAGATTTAAAACAGAGATACATTTAGCATAGTCTGCCCTTCACTGTCTGTTCACCTAAAATGTTTATGGTACTTAAGCTTGTGGACAGGATTTCTTATTTAATGGGGAACTGTCGCTTTCTAAACCCCATAGTACTGGCTGTACATTTAAAGAGCTGTTGTTTTCAAACAACCAAGATCAGGAAGTCCCAATTTCACCACGGGCAACGTCAGAGCATTTATTATAATCAAACAAATAAAGGAGTAGGAAGACAAAGTAGTACATTTGCAAAAGCCAACCCTTCCCTTAGAACAGTATTTTGCCAGACATTAGAATCACCTGGGTAGCTTTTTAAGTCCCGAGAGTCAGGCTGTTACAGGGTGCAGCCAAGAGGGGGGATCCCAAATAGGCATTTGAAATGGGGTCCAGAACTCAAGGTGTCCAGGAGATTTTAAGGTGTCTTCACCCCTTCCCCCACAGGTGTGAGTTGGGGGAAGGGGCACACAGAGCAAGAACATGCAGGGCAGCTTTGCAGCTAATCCATAGCATGGTCATTTAACATACCTATAGCCTTTGGCTGGTCACTTAGATATGCTAAATAGCTATGGCCATGCTCCAGGCCAGGGGGATGGAAAGGGACCTCCCCCCAAAGATGGGACCTGGGAGGCAGGTCCCCTGAGTTACAGCGCCTGCGTGGGAGCTGGGAGAAGATTGGCTCCATGACATGGGGTGACACCTGCCCAGACCCACAATGGCGACCAGAAAAGCTGGAGAAGACAGCAGATTAAGGGCAAGTGTGCCCAAGTGCAGGAGGAGTAGGAAATGAGGCTGCAGAGGAAGATTGGCCTCGGGGATTTAAAACCCAGACTTGGTGACCATTGAGAGAAGAGAACCATGTGGTTGTGGAGGTGCAGAGAGGATCACTGCCATTGGAGAGAGAACCACACAGCTTTAGCAGAGTAAAGACTCCCGCATCCCTGAGAGGGAGAAACACTCGGCCTGGACAGAGTGGGGACTCTCCCCTTCCCGCAGCCCTGAGAGAGGGAGAACCACGCAGCTTTGGCAGAGTGGGGACTCTCCCTTCCTGCAGCCCTGAGAGAGAGAGGACCACATGCCTCTGCCAGAGTGGGGACCCCCGCAGCTTTAGAAGGGGGAACCACCACCTGGTTTTAGCAGAGATCCCGGCGACTCAGCTGAGGGTGCTGGGAACCCAGGGAGGTCTCCCAGTAGAGAGGGATTACTAACTGGGAAGAACCAGAGGACTGTCTGAGTCATGGACTTCTATTTCCTTTCCTGAGATACGGTACTCTGGACTGGGCAAAGGGGAAAGGAAGGAAGGACTGTGTGTTTGTGGGTGTTTTTAGGGATTTTAGGATTTTTGATAAAGACATTAGGTCACTACTTGAAGTTTGTATAGCATTAAATAAACATTTCCTTTCCTTTTCACAAATCTCTGGCATTGAGAGACGTCTTTCCTCTGGCGGCAGACATAACAGACCCGGGGCCTTTCTTTCAATAATAGTATATCGTCCCAGGCCCCCCCCTTGTTTGCTCTGTAACAAGGCCACACAGCAAACAAATTAAACCAGAATCTAGAGTAGTATCCAAGCTTTGCAAATTATTTTAAGTAATTTTAGAACAGTTTTAAGTGTATGAAAAAATTGCAAATTTAGTACAGAGATTTCCCATATACCGCATGCCCAGTTTTCCCTATTATTGACATCTTGTATCAGTATGGTGCATTTATCACAAGTAATGAGCAATATTGATATGTTATTAACAGAAGTCCATGTTTTTTCATATCTCCTTGGTTTTCCCCTAATTTCCTTTTTGTATATCAGGGTCCCAGTTACATGCAGTCACCATTTCTCCTTAGGTTCCTCTTGGCTGTAACGGTTTCACAGACGTCCACTATTTTAATGACTTTGGCAGCTTTGAAGTACTGGTCAGGTACTTTGTAGAATGTCCCTCACTGAGATTTGTCTGATGTTTTCCCTATGATTAGACTGGGGTTATGTGCTTTTGGGAGGAAGAGCCCAGGGATAAAGCCATTCTGATCACATCAAATCAGGGGTACATATATCAACATGACTTAACTATTGATGTTGACCTTAACCATTTGGCTAAGGTATTTGTCAGGTTTCTCCAGTACAAAGTTGCTCTTTCCTCCCTCTTTTCATTCTGCACTCTTTTTAAGGAAGCCACTCTGTTCCACCCACTTCCTTGGGTTATATTCCACTTCCCTAAGGACATAGTATCTACATAAAACTTTTAGACTTCTTTAGTATAAGAAATATCATTTTCCTCTACTTATTTATATATTCAATAATTTATTCATACCCATATGGACTCATTTATTTATTTCCTACTTTGGGTTTCATTCCAATACTACTTTAGTTTGTGGCTCAGATATCCCAGTGTCTCACTGACACACCCCCTCAGTGCATTGCTGTTGTTACAAGTACCTTCTTGCTTTTTTGCACATACGCTGCTCTGCACTCATTTTTCATATTTGCTACCCTAGTCTAGAAGCAACCATTTATCTTAGCTCTGGTTCCTTTTGTTGGAGAATGGTATTAGAAACCAAGATCTGGTGCTGGGTGTGCTCATTGCCACAGGGCTATCATAGCTCCCAGTCCCTCTCAGTTGACAGAACAAGGAAATATATACATGTAAGTATTAACCCATGTATACATATGGAGGGACACCCCAAAACCTGGAATTATCTTCTGGAGGGTGGGCCCCTTGTAGTGCAGGCTTCCTCCACTAGGTGAGTGTTCTAGGAACCCATCTGTATCAGTGTAGCAGCTGGTAGTGTTGTGAGAGGCTGCATTCAGCTTTGGTGAATTTTTCTGAAGACTCTTTCAATGCATTTGCCCATGTCATGATGGGTGATTTGTGAGTGCACCTGCCCACACTGTGCTGAGTGCTCAGCAGTTTTTGAGCAAAAACAGCATGGCCCCTCTGTCCCCCCCCCCGCCGCTCCATTTACCCGATCTTGCCCCTAGCAACTTTTGGTGTTCCCCAGGTGACAAAAAGTCCTCAAAGGGAAACATTTTGCTGATATGGAAGAGGTGAAACAAAAAATGACAGAAGCATTAAAAGGCATCAGAATTGATGAGCTCAAAAACTGTTTTGAGCAGAGGAAAAAATGTCTTGATAGATGTATTGCATCAAATGGAGAGTGACTAAAGTTTAAACATGTAAGAACACACAATTTTTTATAAACAAATTCCATTTGGGGGGTCCCCTCATATATATATCTATAAGTATTTCTGTATGTGACTACGGGTATCTATATTAGGCTAACATGAATCCATATGGGTTTCTCCAACTCTAATCCAACTACCAGATCGATGATTCCAGCCTCTTCCTCTTGCTAATCTGTAACCTCCCACTCCAATAGGGAGAGATTGGCTCCCACCACTGTCCATCCATTTACTTGTTAAATTCCAGTACTCATGGAGAGTGGTGTCAGAATTGTTAACCTGTACCTCCATGTTGAACAACTTTTCAACTACAACGCAGTTTGTGCAATCCGTATCTTGTCCTTTGATTCTCTTAACAGTATCCTTCACAGAAGTTTTTAATTTAGATAAAGTTCAACTTACCATTTTCTTACTAAATCATGCTTTGGCTCATATATGTAAAAACTCGTTGTCAAACCCAAGGTTTCATAGCTTTTCTCCATTGTTTTATTCTAACAGATTTATAGTGTTGTATAATATATTTAGTTCTGTGATCTATTTTTAGCTCATTATTATAGAAGTGTAAGGTCTGGGTCTAGGTTTGATTTTTATCTTACAGATGGACCTCTAATTGTTCCAGCAGCATTTGTTAAAATGCTTATCCTTTCTTCATGGAATTGGCTTTGTTCCTTTGTCAAAGGTCAGCCGACTATATTTGTGTGGGTCTACTTCTGGGCTCTCTATCCTGTCCCATTGATCTGCGTGTCTAGTTTTTCACCAATGAACAGTCTTGATTACTGAAGCTTTATAATAAGTCTTGAAATTGGGTAATGTGACTCCTCCAACTTGGTTCTTTTTCAGTGTTGTGTTGGGCATTGCCATTTTTTTAAAGCCTCCCAAATGATTACAATGTGTAACCACAGGTAGGAATCACTGCCCTGAAGGCAGCTGGGAATAGGAGCAAGAACATGGATATTAAAGTAAAGCAGCCCTTTGTTCAAATTCTTGGTCTGTAGGTAAGGCATTTGAAACTTGGGGCTTCAGTTTCCTATTCAGGAAATGGGAAATTAAAATGCTCACTGCCTGGGTTTTTGTAAAAGCAACATGGGGACTGGAATGTGTATGTAGCAACCGATCAATCCAGTCAAGTTCTCTTTCTCCCCTTTGAATACTTTCCTTGACTGTCTTCTTAGTGTATTCTTTGACCATTTTCTTCCAAATATTATGAAGGACTGACATAGTTATTATTATGAAATATTTCCTGATAGCTGCATACACATGCAAGATAGGTTATAATTCAGTTTTGCTTCCCCTGGAAATGGGCTGCCTAGACTAAAGAAATAAGCCTGTTTGATCATCTTTCTTAGAAGGAAGTGATTCATGTGGAGCTCATGGACAATTAATACCTGTTTATTTTTTAATGATTTGGGGAAGGGATGAGAATTTATTAGCTGCATGGAAACAATAATGAGAGTAAAAAGCAAATAGCACAAAAGATAAAGAAATAAAAATAAGAGTGATAAAAGTACTGTATGTGTGTGCTTTTAAGGCAAATGACAGGAAAAACTTGGTTTTTGAAGCAACATCAGATCTTT